TGGCTACAGGTTCAGTTGCAATGTAGACACATGCTCAAAAGGATGTTACTTCTGAAAAGACTCTCCAGATGCTCTCAGTGGTTTGGGAACAACTCAAGTGACAAGAAGGCAGCAGGCAACTGTTTGTGTTCCTACCAAGCAGAACTCATAGTGAGGGACAAGTCTGAGGTCTCACAAGCACAGGACAAGCGCTCAGCAGGTGCAGGTAGCCATGACCAGTCACATCCAGTCTTGCCTCTTGCTTCCAAGGCTCATTTCTAAGGGCAGCTGATGGCTAATAATGAACTGGAAGAAACTGGGCAGCTTTTAAAGAGAAACTTCAGGATTTGATATTATTCCATGGTAACCTAGAACAAAATGATTCGTACCTTCTAATGTCAATTTAGGAACCTGGATGCTAGTAACCTACACGACTTTAAAAAAATGACTGGACAAATAAAGGCAGGGGGGAAAATGGTGCTGGGGGCTTATAAAAGATGAAGGCAACAACTCCATCACAAAATGTTGTCAAGGTACAAGTTTTTGCAGGATGAAAATGTATGTGTGGAGGTATTGCCACATGATGTCTTCCATGCTCTTTCCTAGGCATTATTGACTGCCACTACTGCAATTAAGCAGACAAATCTCTCCACAGATAATTGTGAGCTATAGAAACGAGAAAGAGCTTATCCATCTGTTAATCCTCTCCACATCTGCATGGAGCTAAATTTTCTGTACTAAGTCAAGTCAAGGCATCAGCTCAAATTCTGGCAGCACTCTGCTTTGATTTCTTTTGAATTTCAGCCATACATCTCCCACATCCCTCCCCGTGTCACTAGGTCACCGCCTGGAGATCTCTGACAGACAGGGCACGGAGCCAGCTGGACCAGCAGTCCCAGCTGTGGTGCTCACCCTTACCAGATCCCTGTGGGCACAAGCACTTGGCCCAGCTTCCTTCCAAAAACTTACCCATGCTAAGGAATGAGGTGTTGCACTGCAGCACGATGTGCTGTCGCATCACGGTGTTACGGTTATTAGTGGCAAAAAGTTAATACTGGCTACTCTGGGCTCCTGCACGTTCGTCTGAACGAACAGAAGTGCTCGTCGCTGCTTTAGGAAGACGCAAAGGCAGCTTCTGACAGACCGAGGAACAAGAACTTTCCGTCATGCTGCGAACTGCGAGAGCTGAGGGGCAACACAGCAGAGATGAAACCCGCAGCGAGCTGCGGTCCCAGCACCCCCTGACGACGCTCTCCAGACTCGCCGCCACAAGAACTGTCCCGCAGGGAAGAGCGCGGTACCCGCGGAGGGCTCCGAGGGCCCCCACAGGAGCCCCGACAGCCCCCGGGGGCCGCTCCCGCCCCGCTCGCCCCTTACCATCTGGGCCACCTTCAGCATGCCGGCGCAGGAGCGGAAATAGGCGCCGTCCATGAGCTCCGCGTCCGAGCCCGCCGAGGAGGAGGCGACGGTGGCGGCCGGCGGGGCCGCGGGGCCGCCGCTGCTCACCCCGGTGCGGATCACCCGTGCCCCGTGAGACATGGCTGCGTCCCCTGCTCCTCTCGCCGCTGCCCGTCCCGGGACAGGGGAACGGGACGGGATGGGACAGGACAGGGCAGGGCGGGGCGGGGCAGGGCGGGGCGGGACGGCGGCGCCCCCGGGGCTGCTGCCAGGGCCGGGCGGAGGCGGCGCGTCCCCGCCTGCCCGCGCTCCCCGCCCGGGGCGGCCGCGGGGCGGGGGAGGGCGAGGGGGAGCCGCGGGGGCTTTGTGCCCACGGCGGTTTCTTTGCCGCGGGGGAGACGCTGCCGCATCCCTCCCCGAGGGGAAGCGGGGTCCGGGACGAAGCCCGACGACTGGGAGCAGACGAAGGGACGCTGCCCCCGCGCCGCTCCGGAGCGGCGGCCGCGGCGGGGTTGCCGGCGGGCCCCCAGCGCAGGAGGGTTACATGGAAACAAGGGAAGGTTTCCAGGCAGGAAAGGGGACGCCTCGCGGCACAGCGCGGGGTCCCGGGGGAGGTTCCGCCAAGAACCGGCCTGAGAACCTAAAGGACCCCCCTCCGGCATGTTAAAGTTTGTCAGCGATGGAGGGGAGCTACTCCGGTTCTTCGCTGTGGAGGTGCAGCTGCAAACAGCGTTTATTCTTTCAAACGAACAACCCAAACCTCCTGATTCCCGATCTTATAGAAGATAAAAGCTACTTGCGTTAAATGGACAGTCATTAGAGTTTTGCCTGTTGCTGCCCAAGTGTCTCAACCCCACTGTTTGAATTAAATCATGCAGAGATACTAACAAAACGAAAAAAAGGAAGCTAAATATTTCCTCAAGTTTAAAAATAACTTCTTCTCCTTTCTGACAAGTGAGGTAATAGTGGGCCTCTGAGCTGGGTATATGCCACTTTTATACTCACTGGAGTAGTAAGGCCATTTTCTGCTGCTCTGTTTTGGAGTTAGGATGCACATTCTGTTCGTATTTAGTATTTAATAGCTCCTTCAGCAACTAAAATTGTTCTAGGAGGGAAGACAGGCAAGTTCAGATGATCCCCACTGCAAATAAGGGGCTAGTGTAAGCAATTTCCATGACCAGGAGGGGTTTGCCAGGGCAATAGTCCAGAGTAGACTAAGTAGTTCATAAATTTGGACTTCTATTAAACCAGCTAGTAGTTGCAATAAAAGATATTACTTGTCCCACTACAATTTCTCTCATGTCATGAGATATCAAATCTACAACTGGCTACCTCCACAAGAGTAAAATTCTAGCTGCCAAGAAAAAAAGATTTTTTTCTGTTTTTAAACAGCTGCCTTTTCCCCTCCCCCCCACCCCTTTACAGTTCCTGTTCAGAAGTGTGCATGGTTATAGGTTTCTATAAGCCCTGTGGAGGAAGGTTCTCTTAACTTCTGCACTTCCTATTAAGAAATAGGGGTTTTTTAAAGGCTCTTCAGCTTCTTTAGTTCTTTATTTCTTTTGAAACCGTGTATGTGACTGGGGCCCTGATAATTCAAGTTCAGCCCAGTGAAACAGAAATACCTTTAAATTAATACAAGTAGAATAACAGTCATAGTTTCTACTCAGCAATACAGGCATCTTCTGTGAACCACTGGGATGAGATCAATCTACAACACTATTACATTTGAAGTTTTTATTATAGTTCTCATGCTATTTACTTTGTATTGTTAAGTGCATTGTGCATGATGATGAAAAAAAGGTACTGACAACTCCTTAACAAATGAAAATTAATGGCTGTAAGTTGACATTGAGTATCCTTATGTATGTAGGTGACTTAGGAGTTTCCAGAGAGACTGTCTGAAACAAGTTATTTATAATGTCAAATACCTTCATTTTGCAAGTTGATTAGCATTTTGTTTATTCTTCTAAATATCTGTGTTAAGAATTTCACTAACCACTTCATCACTTACCAGTTGTTCTTTTAAGGTTTCTTTCAATCTTATGAGTACTAACGTATACTCGTAGATACAAGTGTTGTTTTAATTGTTATATGATAAACCACAGCTAGCTTGTCTTCTTTATCAATATTAGAACATACAAATGCATTAAGTCATAGTTTGCAAATCAATACTTAGGACTAATGCACTGGAAGATAACCTTTTGGATGCTTATGCCTTTCTTCAGGCCTGAAATAGGAGGAGCAAACTTCAGAAGGAATGCTCAGTTTGTTTGATTGATTCCTTCAATTTTAACTAGATATTCAAAACACTTGAAAAACAGGTTGGTATCTGGGCAACAGATGAGAAATGAGACAGACGAGAAAGAGCATGGCAAGTGAGATAATTATCTTTCTAAAAGGAAAGAGAAAGGCAGGTAAGTTATGGTTTGGGGGAAAAAAAAAAAGCAAGGCCAAGCACAAAGCAAATTTTTGTCTAGTATGTATTTTTTAAATGCAGAATTAAGGATTCAACTCACAGATTTGTCTTTGGAAGTCATTCCACATATCTCCCCTTGAGGTTCATTGCTGAAGACTCAGAGAGCAGGTAGGTATTTTGCCAGAATCATTCCTTATCTGGTTTTGTCCTTCATTAACGGGTTTATTCTGACATGTAACACACAGTTTCCATGACAGGTTCAGATAAACTGGATGAAACTTAGATCTTCCTCTTAGCTCTACGCTCTCTTGCTAATTCTGTCCACAAATGATGTCTGGGTTCCGACTTCAGGCCAGAATATTACAGATACCACAAAATCGTGAAATGCTTGTGCAAACATAATCACATCCTTTGAACTTAAAACAAGTACATCCAATATCATTTAAGAAAGTATTTCTATTACTACTAAAGCATTTTTATTGAGGAGAAGTCACTGATGAGATTTTAATTCTGGCTATATTTCTAGTCACATTTTATCAGCTGACATTCAATGCCTCTGATTTTCTTCTTTCCAGCAATGGAAAAAAAATATGGGATTTTAATGACGTATTTAATCTGTCTAGATAAAATGCATAGTCGGTAGCCATTCTTCCTTCTCACAACTGGTTAATTTTAGCAAGCAGCAGACAGCCTGACCTATGTTGTGCAGGCCAAATGCAATTTGCTGACAAATCTAGATTTTTAAATAATATTTTGGCTTACCTTACACTGAAATCCTATGACTCCAACAGACAATCAACAACAAAACCATGTGATCGAGAACAGCATTAGCTGGCTGCTGATAAATCTTCTGCAAGGCACATATGCAAGTAACCACACCCCATTTAGTTACAAGGGAAATAGAGAAGATTTTTTTTGGCAGTAAGGTTTCTCTACTACCATATATAATCATCCAAGTAAGTTTTTGAAAACTGGAAGACAGCCCAAATCTTCTTAATCCAAGAATAAAAGATTCACCAGTAGTTCTAAATGAGGATAACTTTAAATAATATCACAAAAAAACACAACCTTACACTCTCCACATAATTCCAGGGAAAAAAACCCTTAGGTAATTTGTATTTGAAAGTAATTTTCAAAGGTATCTGTTTTGAAAGTCATAATCCCCTGTCATACTTCTGCTTGATTCAAAGATATTTAAACACGAGCCTCAACTTCATTTGTTAAACTAACAGGTCGCAGATGATGCCAGTAGACAGCAACAGAGGGAGGAATTTCTTTGTTTCTGGCACTGGTGTCTTGACAATTCTTCTAAGGATTTAATCTTCATATCATTTAATATGATTTAGAAGCCCAGATTTAAATTAGGACAGATTAATGGCCTAATCTGAGGAGAAAAAACAAAAAGTACTGCATTTAACCAGTGGTTTGTGATACTCTCAGTTGTTTAAGGACTGAGCACTAAGGGACTGTTGGATCTGAGAAACCCATTAGGATAATGTGTTTCAGGCACAATATTCATTCAGCGAGCTTCAGACCTACAGTAGCAGGTTCCAAAAGCAACCTCATAATGTTAGATTATCAGCTGTTAGAATATGCAAACTGACAGGATCACCTGAGTTTCTTAGTAGTATGTATTGTACTCTGAAAAAGAAATTAAAAAAAGCAACCTTCTGCTCGCAGTTTACAAAACATGCACAGCTGGGTCATTTTTTTATTTATTTTTAAAGTTTCAAATGAGTTTCTTCTGCACAATTACACTTTTTATACATAATAATGAGACAATATCAGTCTTAAGCTTTGATTTGTAGCACTCAGTATCAAAAGTATACCTGTAACATTTAAAAAGTTACATTTACGAACTTGGCACATTGAATAAGGTTTATTAAAGGTTTAGTAATAACAACTATACAATGTCTAGAAAAATACCATGTTAATTTTAAAAGAAGCAGTACGAAATTTTGTTATACAGTACAAAGTCAGTGTTAGATGTCTCTAAAGATGGCATTATTATAAATAATCATTTGATCTCAGTTTCTATTATGTCAATTCTAAGAGAAATGTTCAAAAATGCCTCACCCCTCTTCCAAGCTTTTATCAAAAGTGAATAATCCTCAAGGTATTTTATATTACAGAATTCATTCTCACAAAATATTTACTGCAAAGTCCGTGATCGCCAGGATATAAGGCTAAAGTACGTATTTCCAGCATAGCAGGAGGTAACCACGAAGGCAAAGAACTGTAGAGAAAGGAGGAAAAATATGTCAGGAAAAAAAAATAAAATTGAGAGCACTGTCATTTCTAAGGAAAAAAAATAGTTATGGCATTTGGAACAAGGAAAATAGCAGGCTGACTAAAATGGCACATGCTCACCTCCTTGTACTTGTGTGGCCATCACAGTCAGCACTGTGTAAATAAGCTTATATTATGCATAGAAATTTGGGCCTACAAGCAGATAAAACATGGCACATTTCAACTTTTTCTATAAACTCCACATTACACTGCCTCAGTATGGAACTTATAGACCGGACTGCCACCACTCCTATACTTGCTGCTTTTAAAACCTGAGGGATAGTTCATGGGACAGTGCAAGCTCAAGCTAACACTCCTGTCCTGCTGCTATGTTCCAGGAATTCCTTACAACCACCTGTACCTCAGTATGGCACACTATGCATCAGAACAGGTTTGTTTGCAGAGGGCACTTGGATTCAAGTTCAGGCCCTGATGTGTTCTCAAAGAGTACTACTGCTTAGGTTGCCAATTCCAGAGGTCCTCCACTGATGAATAAAGGTATTCCTCAGTGCAAGTAACAGTGACAGCAACCACATTGTCATATTACTACTTTGTCGGAAACTGGAAACAGAATAAGCCTTCTATAGCAGGCTAGATTTGTGTTTCTAGATTAAAACTACAAACTATCAGTGGTGTTGCTTCTACAGCCCTTCCAGCACAGACACACAGGAACCAAAGAGCGCAGCTGTGAACTATTTCAGTTGTACTGATAAAAGTCCAATTCAGCGCCAGTGCTTAAGTTCCTGTTAATCACTGCACGTTGTTCAAAATAGACAATGTTCAATATGGTCCTAATGATAATACCAGAATGTTTTGTGCTGGTAACTGAACCAAATAAAGCTGTCACTGCAAATAGGATTAACACCACTTTTCTGAGAGGTGAGCAATGGCATGATAAGAAGGAACAAACGCAAGTTCCAAGACGGGAAATCTAAATTAGAAACTGGGAAAAAAACCTCACAGAAATCACAGTGTGAATAATCAAGCATGGTAACTGAGGCCCAGAGGCACTGTGGAATAGCCATCCTTGGAAATGCTCAAAGCTTGATTGGACAGGGCCCTGGTAGCCTGATACCCTCCTTCTTTAGGAGGGGAAAGAACTGGAGCAGATGACATCCAGAACTCCCTTCCAGACTAAAAATATTTTATGATTCTATAATTTTTCCTTGCTTATATGCCATTATTGGCATGGGTAGGCACTGCAGCTCTAAGAGAAGGGCACTACTAAGCATGCACCCAGGCAATAAATCTAGGCCTTTCAACACAGGGCTCTTGGTGAGTCTTGTCTAATGGAAATTTATTCTGTGGCACGAAAAATGGTAATGATGATGTGAAATTTTATTACAATAGAAAACTTTAGCATTCTTCTTTTCCAGTTATTTTGTTTCTTATTAAATAAAAGCTCCGTCTAAAATCTTCCTAACAGAATGACTGTTGGGGATAGATGATTTGCTAAATTTTTTATCCATGAAATCCTTAATGGGTTTGGAAAGGAAGAATCTACTTTTAATAGTTTATTTAGACACTGCATTAGATAAACATTATTAGGAGGTATTAGAAGAGAATCCAAACATCCCAGGAGACACTGAGCATTCATGCACTTTGCATAAAACCTGAATCAGCATGGAAGCCTATCTAGCAGCAAGCAAGCTCCTGTCAACTGCAGTGGCTGAGTAACAGATCAATAGTTACAAACTGCCAAGGGGAGAAGGCCCTGAACACCACTGAAATGACAGGGACACAGTCACCCAATTCCCAAGACAAAAACAGAGCAGGTGTTCAAGTTCCTGTGTTCATGACCATATACAATAATCTTCAGACAGGATTTGTGAATAGTCTGGAGGAAAACTACAGAAGCATGAACACTCAGCAAAGTAGCCAAAATTTGGAATTACTGTATACAACGGAATTTGACTACTGTTGCCACAACATGCAGGAAGTTCTTTTACAATTCCCTTAATACATTCACCTGCTCAGAACTGACAAGGCTCTTTTTTTGTTTGTTTGTTTGTTGGTTTTTTGGTGGGTTTTTTTGGTTTTGTTTTTTTGGGTTTTTTTAAGTTGTTTTTCATCCATTTTGCCTCTCTGTTTTGGATTTCTAAATCTCTGTAGTAATATAGTAATGCCAGACTAAGTAATGATTTGCATCCACTTTAAAACACTGGGAAGTTGCCTGACTTTTGAGGCATTGCCCATGCAACTCAAAAGAAAGACTAATCAAAAGCTGAGGCTGTAACAGGAAGATCACTCCAGAAACAGCAATGGCACTTCAGGGCCTTCCCAAAGGTGCTGTGTATATTGCTCAGCCCATGGAAAGCTGAATGCATCTTATCCACATGTGTGCAAAGTTAGCTGAATTAGTTTAAACTGCTTCTGAAGTTGTCCAAATGCATTGAGGTGACTTGGTGCTCACACAAACTTTGTCTGCTCTGACGTGCAGGCTCTAACCTCTGCCAGAGAGTTAGTAATAAATGGGGACAGGGAGGGGAAAATCAGTGTGATCTTAAAAACATTCCTACCTTTTCTGATGTGACTGTCATCTCCTGACGGAATTTCTAGTCACCTTCAAAAACCATGAACTAAATTCCAGCTACCTATAGGTTTTATTTGTGACCTTCTACATCACTCTGCAGCTTCTCAAAATCCAGAACACATGCAACTTCTACCCACACTTCCAGTGAGCCTTTATTTGATATAACTTTATTGGACACAGAACTGATTTAAACAAAAAACAAACTCACAGAAGAAGCTGCCCAGCTGTTGTAATTGTGACTGTCCAGATCTTTGGTAACTGAAGATGCATCTACAATGGCAGCAATGAGGTACAAAACAAAGGCACTTCCATTAAAACACAGACCCTGTGGAAAAACCAAACATAAGTCATTAATATGCACATGCATTTGTCTTCCAACATTACAAAACTCTCTTCTGAAATACACTGAACATACGCAATGTACAATAAAAAAGTGATTCTTAGCTATTTTTACCTTCTTCCAAGCTTCTATCTGTAAAGATTAAAATTTAGCCGCTTTGAAGAACCATAAACATTAGAGTACATTTTGGACAAAGTGTTATCTCCATCGCGCTAAATCCAGAAAAGCCTTAAAGCTGATGTGCTGTGATTTTCCAAAAGTGAAAATAAGAACACAGTTTGGCTATCACAAACTAAGGGTTAGGCAGTAAGAATATGACATTACATGAAAAAAACCAAAAACCAAACAAACAAAAACCCCAAGCAAAAATAAAACTGCACTTTATTTACAATTCTAATCTACACAAAGATATATTGTAGGAATCAATAAGGGGTGGCATATGAAGACTATTTATTAAGCTTCCAAAGCTTTGTTTTCTCCCCTTCTGAAAGCAATAAAGAAGGTGAAAAAAATTTTTTTGTCTTAGTTGTATTCTTTCACCTTTCCCTTCTACCTGTTTTTGAGAGGAGAAAGAAAGGTAAAACTGAGGAGGAGAACAGTCTGAATGGACTACATGGATCATCGAGACCCCTCCATGGCAGATGTTGGATTTTCTCTCCCAAGGAGCAAAGTTAATGTCGCAAGGCACTTATGTTCATTACTGAGAAAGAAATAAAGCAGATAACATTCATCTCACATAACACTTCAGAGAACAAACAACAAGTTTGTTTGGTTTTTACATGTGAGAGAGAACAGGAAAGGAAGAGAGAACAGAAGTCTAAAAAGATGAAAGAGAAAAATGTATGAGGGTTTTTTTTAAAGTACATAATTTTTAATACTTTGTCCTTTACTTACTCCCTACTTGGTCATGGTTATAGGAAGTTCATTCTTATTTAAAAAAAAATCCCCCCAAAACCCACCCTGTTACTTTGTCTAAGGTATATGAATTTGACCATAAAATAAACTTTTACTTCACTGTTGCCATGTGTAAGTGAAATACCTGTGATATGTTTTGCATCTAATTACAGCTGCAGGAACTGGAAGCTCAATACAGACCCAATCCTAATTTTGTATATAATCAGCTCCCTTCAGCTTCTGGCCCCATGTTTGCGCTCCAGAGTGTCACACAAATATAACCCTTAACTCTTGTCACTCCAGTTGTCTAAATGTTGCCATACTGGTCATCTCCAACTTACTAATTTTCATGGGGTGATGCTAGGAATATACGCCAATTATTCTCCATTTAATTCACTAGTCACCAACTCTGGCAGAACCTAAAAAAGAGCTGCAGCTCATGATGAGAAGGAACAGTGGTAAAGAGCTCCTTACACACCCTTCTGCAGGAAACTGTGGGCAGTGCCTCAGAACTCAGATGGAGTCCAAGGGCTGGCACCTGAGGTTTGATTCACGCACTTAAAAATGGGTGGGGTTTATCTCACCTATATCAGATAGTCTAATAAAAGGTATTATCTCTATCCACAGATCTCACCCCATGTATTATCTGGGCATTACAGCAATAAAATATCAAACTGTCAATTTTAGGAGAAGGTGCCAGCAACTGGCAGATTCAGGTGAACTTCTGTAAAGTACTGATTTAGAAACTCTCAATTTGACTACCTAGAGTATTTGTTGTTGTTATTTTCAGATTTCCCATTCCAAAAAGATTCAATTACCCTGGAAAGCTACAAATCCCTGCAATATCTTGTCATGTAGAAAAGAAAAAAGAACATAATTTCTGAGAAGTGCTGCTCTGGGAAATAACACGGTTGGGGAAGATGGAATGCAATGCAAGCTGATTGGGCCTTTACTGCCAATATATTACTCAAACCAAATGGTTCATGCAAAATTACCATCTGCTTCTTAAATTCAAATTTACCAGATTTTAAAAGCTTCCATTGATTGTTTTAGCAAAGAAGTTGCACTATTAAGGAGAGTCAGTCTTAAAGTACATCCTTTGGGTTAATTTGCAGTAAAAGTAACTGCATCTTAAGCAATTTGGTAATGTGCTTAACCTGCAAAAAGTGAATTTATGACAGAGAAGTCCAGATGTAATTTTGGATACTGCATACAATAGGAACAGTTTGAGCTAACGGTCGCCTAAGGAGGCACAGCAATAACTAGCTGATACTGAAATTCGGGATACTTCAGAGAATAGAGTGAAGATGGATGTAAACTCACTCACTCAAGAAGATGTGTGTCATACTTTTTTGAATGAAGGCATTAACAACACCTCTCTGAAAAGAAACTCAACATTCCTCTTGGTCAGGCAGGAACAACAGAGGACCAACTCAAAGGCTGTTCCAAACAACTCTTTTAATACCTTAAGGTAAAAAAAGTTGGAATGCAAGCATCTTTTATTTATTTTGCATTTACTTCCTCTTTATTTTACCCTTTAATATAAAAGGAGCCTACCTTTTGCACCTACATTTTATGTGTGTATCAGATGTTATGTGATCTTATCTACAATATGTTTATAACTCGGAGCAAGAAATACACTCAATATGAAGCAGAAACAAATCAAATAATCCAGCTTGTCTTCCACACAGATCAGGGTCAACTCATTTATGTGCAGTTGTCTAATAATAGGGTCCAACTGATGAAAGAGGGGTAATGACCAAAGCTTTATTCAAATGGATACAAAGATGTTTTCCCTTTGAATGTTACTTACATCGAATGCAATGGGAAACTCCCCCCCCCACGCACACACCTTTAAATGTACCCAGACACATTACTGCTGTAATTGAAATAATCCAACATTTCTATAGCAGTGTTACAGCCTTAATGGTAATTGCTGGCCATGAAACTTGAAAACAGAAAAGCTATCTGAACATAATCCTGGTTGTTCTTATTAGTAATTGCTATAGCTGGCTATTTATTACAGCAGCAAATGGGAAGACTAAGAGTATTCTAGTATTCAATTTTAGTCACGTACACAATATAGCTGATAACAAGCTGTTAGCAACACAGAAGTCAAATACATTTCATCATAAAAATAACAGAATTGTAGTCAATAATCTCTAGCTAGCAAAAAACAAACAAACAAACAAATAAATAAAAACAGAACAGTATCTCACTATATCTGACAACTGTAAAGCTAAGATTTATAGCATTTCTTGGATGGGTAACAAGTGGCCAGCTGGCTGAGATGACAATGACTTTTAGGATCTATTATCCTGAAGATCAGCCTGTTATGCAAATGATGTAAAAATATACTGTTGAGAGTTAGAGCTAGCCAGGTTTGTTCAAACCATAAAAACTGGATCTGAATTTTAAGTGCCTGTGAAATTTTTCTGTAATTACATTAGCTGTTTATCTGATTTGCTTTAAGTCTTGAGCTAAAAGCAAAGGATTATGTGCTACATATTTTACATATATATAATTCTAATTTTCAGTACCCTTTTCACAGTCAACTACGTATGGATTGTCAGAGTGTTGCTACCTCTGAACCACCTTTGCTTTTACTTTAGCAGAGGAAGACTCATGTTTTGAGAGCTCAGGTCCCAGCTCTAATTCACAGTGTTGATTCCAGTAGGGATTTCTGCTGTTTAAGCCATATGGCTAGGTCTGTTAGCTCAGAGGCAGCAACAGACTTATTCTTCATGGGATGTAACCACTACAAAGAGAAAAAGAGGTCACTGTGCATAAGTATCAGCCACATGCATATTATTAAAAATCAAGTCACTATATCAACCACTGAACAAAAGGGTGAAACATCATAGAAAAAGGGTTTTAAAAGTATCTGGGTACAATGAAGGTTAAACATCTCAGGTAAACAGCCACCCAGTAATCAGGGAAAAATCTGCAAAGAGCACAAGTACAGTTGGTTAACTATACCCATAGAATGCACCAATATTTTATTCTATTCATAACCCAGCAAATCTGAAACAACAAAGAATGAGTATATTTACCACCATGGTCCATGGCACCTGGGGGATCCTGGTGTAGGTCATTGTCATGTAGATGATCAGAAAGAAGACAGTGAGAACCCAGTAAAACACAGCTACAAACATCACCCAGCCAAAGGCTGGATATAGAAAGTATTCTGTTCCAGCAATCAGGGTCCACACCAGCAGCCCCAATACCTGCAAAAGTTATGGAGAAGAAAGAAAACCGTTACGCATCTTAGACATCATACATTTGTTCTAGGTCAAGGAGCGACACCACTGCAATTCACTGCCTTCACCCAGTTTGATGAGCTGGGTTGGGATGCTACACTGACTGAATACTAATCTAACAAAGAAGAACATATAAAACTTCTTTATTGTGGCAGGGTGTCACAAAGGAAAAGACATCTAATCTATTTATCTACAGAAAAAAAATCACATAGTATTCTGAGTTGGAACAGACCCACAAGGATCATCGCATCCAGCTCTTAAGTGAACAGCCCATGTGGGAATCAAACCCATGACCTTGGTGTTATTAGCACCGTGCTCTAACCCACTGAGCTAATCTCAGGGATTTAGCTCCCTCTATTATGGAACCATATCTGCAGTGGTTTTACAGCTAGCTCTCCAAAGAATTGCTTATTATAGCCTACTAGCTGATGTGCATGAAGGTAAACACTATTATTTCACTGTCAGCAAAGTCTCTGTAGAAACAAAAGAAACCCTGTTAAAGTCCACTGGGATCTTCAGGTTCTATCTGCCACAGACACAGGTAACTCCTTAGTTGGAGTCCAGTTCCAAAAGGGTCCACACCTGCAGTGTTGAGTGGCAGGCGCCACACACACAAACCAGCTCCTAGGACATTACTATACAAGGTAGAAGTAAGATATCAACACCACTGTAACATGTAACCGAAACTCTGGCAGAACAAGTCAGGTCGGGAATGTCATTGTATCCCACAGTTCTTAAAACATCTCCCAGGCAACCTGACCCTAAGTAGTAGACAAGAACTCAGATTCAGGCAAAGTCCTCTAGCAAACCAGTCTGGGGAAAAAAACCTCCCTCCTGATCCCCAACCTGGCAATCTGTTCACACCTAAGACATAAAGAAATGCATGAACCAGGGGTTTTAACATGCTCTGTCCAGTTCTCTCTATTGTTAGGTGATCTCCAATGCATTAAGAGAAATAAGGAGCAAACAAAAGTCAAGCCGTATGTCTCAGGAAAAAAAAGGTGTGTGTTTTGCAAGTTGTCCAGCAATTAGAAAAATCTCAATTATAAAAAGTAAGGAATATTTTAGACCTTAAAAACAGGCAAACACAAAAAATGAACCCTACTCCACACACTTTAATGGAGTCAGATGAGGAAACTAGAATGTCTGTATTTGAAACAAGGCTTATATCTTTCTGCTATCTGGACTATGGCAAAATTGCCTAGCAATGAGAAATACAAGGATTACAAAATTAAAGCAAATAGCAACACATTTAACAGACAACAGCCTTAGCTGGACAATCTAAAGAACCTTCTACCCCAATATTCTATCTCTAGCAGTGGTTAGTAACAGATATCTGAGGAAATATATAGGAAAGAATAGACCATGCAATACTAATATTTTCTTAGGACTACCTTCCTCAGCTCTCAGGAATGTGCAGTGAAGGAACTTCCTGATCCTATGGTGATATCTTTGTAATCAACAGCCCCCTGACAGAAGAGGATGGTTTTGCTACAGCTCCATTTACACAAGATCTAACCCTATTCCCATGCAAGCTGCTGGCCCTGGTCCCATTTGTTTTTCTATTGCAGAACTGAACGTGTATATAATGTTTAGAGGTTTATCATTAATGCTTACAAGACAAAACTATACTGTAAAAAAAAAATATTGTAATTGCTCCAGTTACTACCTTCCATCTGTTTATTTTGTCTTCAATTCATCCTCCAAACTGCTACCCAAACTTAACTCAGCCCTCAATTTGTTTTCTTGAGTGCTCACAGTACATTCATATATATTTTTTGTATTCATCCACATCTGCACCATGCATACATAAAAGCACTGCACAAATGTCTGTTTCATGGTTTGTTTGAGACTTTTTTTGTCTTTTAATAGAGCAGGCATATAGTGGTCTGTTTAAAAGCCTATTTTATTGCCACCATTTTCACCAATTCAGCAATTTCTCTTTAATAGGAAGCTCTAGAACTTGCTCAGACTGCGATAAAAATGTCTACTTTTCGCAGCATACCAGGGGAGGGCAGCATTGCCTCATCAGAGCAGTTCAAATAGCGTTATTGGGTTCTTTAAAATATACACTATTTTCCATGCGAAGTTATCGGTTCAGCAGTGCTCCCAATAGTTCATTTTAATTCTACTTCCGACATTTTACTAACAGTAGCAATTCAGTTAATAGGACCTCAAATTGCACGAACTACCCACAAGCAGATAAAAAACAAGTTAATTTTAGTGTAACAACTGTTTTAAGAGTAAACAACTTCGATAGACTGTTTAGCTAACAAAATACCATTTTATTGGAATACAAAGTTGTTTTTCATAATGCCCATCCACTTTAATCTAGATTTAAACTCATAATCCAGAAATGATACCAATAAATAATTGGTCTCTGCTTGATAAATAATTATTAAAAGCACATTTATTCTAAATCTGAGTATCCAGTAAAATACCTCAAGAACAGAAACTCGGCAGATGAGACAAACAAAGAAATTAAATATCATTAAACACTCTGCTGACAACAGTGTTGGATTTTAAAACACTTTTAAAAATAGAAGTAGATTTTTTCAAAAAAATCCCAAGACTATGAAAAATCTTTAATACTAAATTCAACACAAATAAGATTGATAAGGACACCTCAGCTTGTATAATGAATTATTTCTCAAAAGAGTGAAGTCTTCACAAGCAGCAAATTATTAAAATTAAAAAGAAAGATTCTGAGGTTACGTGAGACCACTAATCTTACATTACCACACAACAAAGCAAGCAAGACATTCACTAGAGCACTGGTATTCACACTGGTCACTGTTTTTTCCAGTAATATTCTAACCTGGTGTTATCAGCCCTCTTTCAAGACCATTTAAATATTTTTAAATGGCTGTACATCTCACATGTTTAACAAAGAATTGCTTTTAATGCATGCTTTTAGCTTGCTTGTATCAATGGCAGAACAATTCACCCAGGCAATTGAGATGCACCACAGATGTTCCAGATTGATATTCTTAACCAGTTCTTGCATCGTAACTTTGATGGGTTGCATATTAGAGTGCATTTGACATTTTCAGTTAGATCCAGATACTCTTACAGCATATTACTGGAGCTGACAGGCTAAAATAATATTTCAGATTTCTTGATTAGACCTGAAAAGGTCAGATCAGCTCATGGTCAACAATTCACTGTGTGTAGTTAAATGATATGGCAAATGGTTTCGCTGCATATGTAAACACACGCAATAAATTGATTTAAAGTTCACACTGGCTGTCAGCATCTGCAAAATACCTAAGGAGTCAAAGGAATACAGACATCTAGACAAGCCTTTCATGATTAGCTTGTCTTCTCAGCATGTTAAATACCAAGATTGCTTCTGCCGTGTTAAAAGCCTGTCTCGTAATACTCTGACTGTCCCTTACATTACACTTTTGCTGTTCAACAGATCAGTACAAACTGGATGACACTTGTGTATCTGTTGGAGCTGAGAATGCTGCTTTTCCTAGTGATCTGATATCAAGCCTCCCCACTGGGAAAAAATGGACTATATTCAAATGTCATCTCAGTGAGCATCCAGTGTACAGAATCTGGCGAGTGAGTGATAGGTACGCAACGCCGTAAAGCAAAGATCAGCAACTGCACTACCTGGGGAGTGCCCACTGTAATTCAGTGTGCACAGACAGTACACAGCTACCTTCACTGCTTCAGATCAGCTCAAAAACAAGGGAGAAAGCTCCACTCTGTAGCCAGAAAAGGCCTAAATCTCATCATAACCAGGTAGGCTAGAGTGTATTAGTAATAGCTAAGTATTTGGTTTTAATTTATGAGCAAGTCAGAATATCCTTAATTAGAATTACAGGAATGTACTACAAACCTGTAAAAAATGAGCCTGAGAAAGGGGAGGAAGATGACCCAAGAAAATAATGCATGTGGTAATCGATGAGAGAGGATGCTGGGTCCTACGACCGTGAGGGCTCCACCAACTGGGTCCAATTTTTCAAGTCAGATGAGAGACAGGGATTTCAGTACATGATAGAGAGAAGCAGTTTTCCCTTGTTTATGGCAGTCTCTGATTTCAACTCAGACATCTATTTTGCGGTCATTTGGCTGCTGCTTGATCAGGTACCTCCATTACTAAAGTGCATTAATATGTCAAATGCACTAATGCATACTTCAGCAGTTGGCAGATACCATTAAAAGGAAGTAACTTTGTAGCAAAGTCCAATATTATTGAGTGTGCAGGTTTAAAATTAGATGCTTAATTGCATATTCAAACCCTTAAATAAGCGCCATAATTCTTCTTCAGTGTCGAGAACTTCAAAAGTATCAGATTATTTAGTCACTTTAAAAAAAATAAAAAGGCTTTGTCGCCTGGTACATGAGACGCATCTTGTCTCTTGTCACTGGCACAAGTCAGCAGGTATGAAAAGCAGGTGTGAGCTTTAATCTGTGTATCCATTTTGGCTTTTTGAAGAGGCTTAAAAACTGCAGAACAGAATTTGTACTTGCAAACTGCATTTTAAAAGGCTACAATGTAACAACTCCTCCACAGTGATGCCAGTGTTAGGAACCCTCCAGCATTTATCTTGAGTGGTTAACTCAGCAATATGGTTAAAAATGTGTATACATCCTTTTCAGAGGAAAAAGAAGTTTCCTTGTAGCAGAACTGCCAGGAAGAATAACCCAGGGCTCATCTATAAAAACAGGCTCATGAAATAATAAAAAAATATAAATTGGCATGTTTGCCTGAAGCCTTTCCTATCCTTTATCCAAGAGATGCTTCCTGCAACCATAAGCACTGTAGGATTCATACGGAGTTGCTACTGGCACAGATGGAAATGATGGCAGAAGGATACCAGACGAGTTGAGCACTTGCAGCATGGATTGTCTCCTGTATGCAAAGCCACCAACACACGGACAGAATCCAGCAAGTAGAAAGCAAGACATCTTGCCTTTCCTTCCCAAGAAAGGAGATTTATGAGTAGAAAAAA